GAATCCAACTTCACTTGGTGATGTAATCATTTAGGAATTAGTGCAAAGGATATTATATAATAAGAATTTAAACAAGCTGGTAATTGCAGCAGGGGTTAATTTACACCATTTCCAAGTTTAATAAATGTAAACTTCAGAATATATTAGCCGTACAGCTGGTTTAGCGTGTATTTAACGCGTTTCGTACATGGAAACTACTCTGGTGGAATGTAACGTATAAAAACTCCATTACCCACAATGCCTTCCTATAGCCAACCCCCAACTCTGAACCTCTTGGTATGAAACTCAAATCACGGGCGGGAGAAGGCGAAGGCAGACGTGAAGCTAACGACGTAAGAGCGTTTGGGGATTTTTAAATTAGAACAAGAGTTTTAAATCGACGTTTAATCGTTAACTTATTTATGAATGAACCGAGTAAAACTTAAGGGTAAATTTGCCAGTTAAGGTCGAAGCGAAGGCAGCAAAAACATTGACGACTGAACTCACGGCGGAGAGACGGGAAGTGATTCAACAGGTTGGTTTGCTTAAAACTACTCTTACTTTCCACATGTGTTTGATCGCGAACTTATTGTTTGGTGGGCTAATTAAGATCGGTTTTAACTCCGTTCAGTCGATTATTTCGACTGTAAGTCGAATTAATTTGTATTTTTACCCGATGGCCTCGGGCGAGACAGTTTCCCTCCTACACGGTGAAACCAGCGTTACAACCCCCACTCTCCATTTAAAGTACCCACATTGTTATGCTCATTTACAGGCTCACCATTTTAGTCTGAGCTCTACAAGGGCAGGCCCTGAGATCGTTTTAACTGTTATTTTAAAACCCATGTGTTTCCAAACTTTATCCAGGGGTGTAGTGTTACGGATCGTCTCATTAATTTGCAGTCTTTTAGTAAAAATGCTATTTGGTGGTGTGATGATTCCCACACAAGACTGAGACATGGTTTGAAAAGCTATTTTACACCTAGATAAGTTGTTTGGATTAGAAAAATGAATTGTCTAGTTTAATGCAGCAGTTTTCTCCTCTGGCCTAGAATTTTTACAGTAGTCAAATGTAAAGGCGAAAGGCTGAGATTCTTCGAAAATTGCCCCACTTTTTGCATCTTAACAGGCATCACCTGGTTTGTAAAATCAGATGTGGGGTAAACAAAAAGCTTAAAAAAGGAAACCAGTCAGAATTTTAGACTCTTGTATTGTTATACCTGACAATCAAAATGTATTTTATGTACTAGTAATTTAACTGTAGTAATTAAATATAAATTATTTGCAATTTTTTGTATTGAGATCGAACTTTGTAATTAATTAGTAGTTAAAGCTTTAAAATACATTTACTGGGGTAAGTGCTTTCTTTAGGCTTGCCCCTGTGCCGTTATCCTTCAGCAAAGGGTACAGAAAAATCAGTCAAATTTATAGGATTTATTTTATGATCTTATAACAACTATATTATAAACTAAAGAGTTTATCTGCATACAGATAACTTTAATTTTTGCTTCTTCTTGATTTGCACAGTATACTATCTCAGCAGATATTTTGATAAAGGATATGGTTAATTTAGTTGGTTTGCTTCCGAAGTGATTTGAACAGCCAACACACTTTTTACTGGGGACAGCAAGACAGGGACAGTGGTTATGTTGTGCCCTGCTAGTTACAGAAACTCTGTATGTTCATATGTAAATATAAAGGTGAAAGGCTGAGATACTGCACTCTGTTTTGCATCTTAACATCGTTCGGGCATCATCTGGTTTGTAATATCATTTTTGCGGTAAACAAGAAATGACACCTTTTGGTGGCACATTTTTTAAAAG